GGAGCCAAGGGCCCGCGGTGCTTAGAGCAGAGGAAAAACACTCAAGTAGCAGGTAGGCCGGTACCGCACCTAGTAGCAGTAGATGTGCTGCGTACTCCAGGCCGAGCAGAAGAAGACAAAGTTGGCATTTTTAGAGGCCCAGTAGCGGTAGGCTAGGTCTAGGCCGATACCAGTCCATCGAGTCTGAGTCTAGAGCCTGTACGAGCGATATCAGAGTCTGCAATGATGTTTCCCTCCGAAAGGGAGGAGGTACCGGTTGCTTGGGAGGCCGAGCGGCTTGGAAGTCACCGCCCAGGAGGCAAGCAGGCCGCTTAATAAGACGGTCGGCCTCATTCTTCAGTGTGCGAGTTGGGCGTCACGCTGCTGGAGCATTGGTTGGAAGAGTGCTGGCTGCTACAGCGCTGCTGGGAGGAAGAAGTCGGGAGCTTCCACCTTGGCTATGGTGGAGCTCTACCGGTAGGAGGAGGAGGGAGAAGGGGACCATGGAGGAGAGTGGCGAGGTACTTACCTGGCTATGGATGACACCATCTTCATCACCTTGTTAGGCGCTGCATCTGGAAGGCCCCAGTTGGGGTAGTGTTGCACCAAGGAAGCTCGGGACAGAGTCGAGCATGGCAGTTGAGTGGGCAGCGGCATAGCTGCTTGTTGTTGACCTTGGGACAAGACAGCAGCGACATAGCTGCTTTGGGTTGTCCTTTGGACAGGAAGGTAGAGCCCTCAGTGCTCCGCCATAGCCTTGGCCTATATGAAGAGGAAGGGGAAGGGTGGCCACGGCTATGGTGGACCTCATGTTGTGCCTGCAGTAGAAGTGGGATTCGGACATTGATTCTGGTTCAGCCATTCAACATTATTATTGTTATTTCTTGTTTGAATCAGAGGGGAGGAGATAAGGACGAGGAGATTGGTTGGCGAAGAAGAAGAGCCTTGTCATTGGTCTATGCTGGAGTACATCATCTTCTTCTTCTTTCCCTCTCTCTCCTCTCAAGTTCATTCATTTCTTTTTGGAATTGGACGGCATTGTACTTTCCGATGAATGTATACTTCGAAATTGGCCAGGATCGTAACAATGGCAGAGTAGGTGAGGATATCTTCAGGACAGGAGGTATAGGTTGTCCACAAAAACAATACAAAGTTAGATTCTCCTTTCAAAGAGGCAGATGACGACCGCTGGTTCACACGCACAGAACTTCTAGAGACAGCTCCCGATGTAGTCCGAGCCTACGAAAGAGATAAGAAAGGTAAAGGTCCTGCCTTAGACTGAAGTATTCTCGGAGGACCTCGAATTTAGGTCAGTGGGAGTGAAACGGTTTTCACCTTTTTGCAGTCACAGATGCGGGCCCTAGAGTTCGATCCCTAGACCTTACCTTGCCCATGTACAGTATCGAGTAGAACTCCGAGTGTTTGAACCAGTGACCTGTGTTTTGGTAGTTGGGTGTTGTTGGTCGTAGGTCTGTGTAGTTGTAGGGGTTCGATCTGTACGTCTGTCGAGTAGGGGTCAGAGCTGTGTAGAGGTCGAAACTGCTAGGCTAGAGGTCTGTAGGTGAGTCGCAGGTCCAACTGCGTTCAGTCGGCAGTGCAACCTCATGCACTCAGTGGTACCAGTCCCAATCACCCTCAGTCCGGTCAAGCAAGTACCGTGTGGGACTCTACACACCAAGGGCCTGGTGGAAAGGGGCAGACCAGTGGCAAACAGAAGTATAAATCAAGGAGCAGCGCCCAGCAATTCATTCATTCGCTGCGGAAGCCATGCGGAAGCGCTGCTACAGCGTCTTGTGCGAGGTGGTCTGCTGGTTGCCCGAAGACGAAGCGGGCTGAGGAAGATAGAGCGTGCATAGGCAGTGTTAGTTGGCGGCCATAGTCGCCTGAGTTAGTGTTAATAATTAGTGTGTGAGTGTGTGTGTATGAGTGTGAGATCGTGTGTGGTGGTATTCGGGGTGATCCAGAGATGAGTACGTGCGAACGGTGGTGTTGGACACAGTGACGAGAGTTGGATGTGCAGGCGCCGAAGCGCCATAGTTTGTTGAAGCGATTTTGCATCTGACTGTGTTCTCGTTTTCCATATCTCTGAGCTTTGAGTGGGCGCGCAGCGCCAGTGTGAATCGCCATCTGTTTGCATGTTTGCAAAATGGAAAAGAAAGCGAGTCTGATTGCATCCATTTTTTCTTTACAAGAAAGAAGGATCTCCGCTGTTCATGATGTGACTCCCCGTGAGAGGTCGGGAGCTGTAATGACCTGCCAAATCGCAGACTGAGAACTCTGCTGTTCTCTGACTTTTGCCACTGGACTGACCGACTTGCTGAGATTCCCGAAAGTACATGTGTGTGCATGATTGTTGAGTTTCCATGTGTTTGCCTGACTGCATGATTGCTTGGGTGTGTGTGACCCGCCAGGGTACTTGTGTGCTGAGAAGGCCCCCGAGCCTGGTACTCACCTGTGGCCCTGCTTTTGTGAGGGCGCAACAAGATTTCGAACTAGGCTAGACCAGCGTACGTTGAAAAACACTCAAGCAGCCCATAGGTAGGCAGAAGACAAAAAGTTAGTACCTTTAGAGCCCGACGTGAATTTAGATTCCAGTAGGCTTAGAAGGGAAGATGAGATCCTTTCTCGGTAGCCAGGTTTTATATGGCAGGTCTCTATAACAGACCTGAGAGGAAAGGGTATAGCAAGGCAAGCTGACAGTCAATCCTCCATATAGATGGAGTAATCAATGCTGGTCAGGGGTCCTGTTCAAAAAAAAAAAAAAAAAAAAAAAAAAAAAGGAAGGGAAGATGAGAAAAGTTAACAGAGGCCCAAATTTTCATAGTTTTTACATGATCTTTATAACAAACCCCGAGCAACTTTTAAGCCAGACTTGTCACCAGTCCATAGTGGAAACCAAATAAACCAACAGCAAAAACAAAAGAGTGAAAAGAAAATCAGAGGGGCCTAAAAGTCCCAGGCCATAGTGTGTTTTCATGCAAAATTCGCTCTTTCAAGTCTTTTGAACTTTTTCACTTTTTCTCTAGGCTACCAGAGTGGCCCGGGTCCACGTGCCCAGCCGGGCCAAAAAGGGGAAAAAAAAAAATTAAAAATAAAAATTATTTTGTAATTTTTATTTTTATTTTAAATTTGGTAACGAATTTTAATGTGACGCTGAGGCAAAAGTTGTTCAGTGTATTTTTCTGCATAACATAGTTCTTTTTCGGATTTTTTGGATTGTTTTTTTTTTCCCCTTTTTGGGTGGGACCTTCCCTGGTCCTTGCACAGCCAGGCCGCCCGGGAAAATAGGGTGACCCGGGCGGCCCGGCTGGTAGCCTAGCTTTTCTGAGTTTTTCAAGGATTTTCAGTATTTTCAGAATTTTCAGGGCTGGCCTAAACAGTAATCTGCAAGGAATATGAGCGAGAGCGATAAACAGAAAACCAAGTTGCAAAATCACGCAGAAGTCCGGATAGTCATTTAGCCAGCAGAGAGCTCAAATGCACCAAGATTACATCCAAATAAGAGCGATACAATGAACTCGTGAGCCAATGTCCAAGCCCTCGGGCCACACCAACGCAGTATGCAATGTCGCTCCTACTGTCTGGCGCCCAGCGCCCAGCCTACTTTACTCATCCTATCAGCCTATCAACATCCGTGCAACGGGCTCACTTCGACGACGAAGACCAATGTACATGATGTCAACACCAATGCCAACCTCCCACATACACCAGGTATGTTCTCTCGCATCCCCTCATCACCCCTTGTCCACCCACACCTGCGCCTCCTTCCTGAAGACCACCATCGCCTCCACCTGCCCGTGCCCCTGCAGCCCGGCTATGGCCGCTTGGCACCCCGCTGCCCTGCAGAGTGCCCACACCTCTTAGCGCCTGCGGGCGCCCCAGCCAGCATTAGCGTATGCAGACACTTGCGCTCTATCGCAGCAGCGTGTCTGCATCGCCTGCCTAGGCCAGAATCCCAAACACTGCCTGGCATCCTCCCTATATGGGAGTCACTGCTGCCGCTGGACAGTCTGGGCCTGGCCGTGGAAGTTTCCAGTAGCTTCTGGTCGGGCCCCAGTGTCTGCGCCCAGGCCCATCTATTCAGTTGAGGGCCTGTGCAGTTTTCAGTTGGGCACACCCAGGATCATCCAGGCTCTGAATGTTTGCTCTGTTTGCATTGGCCCGCGGGGTTGGTGTGCCAACAATGCTGCATTCTCATTGGCCCGCGGCCACTTTGTGATGTGCAGGCCTCACGCTGCGAGTGCACAGGGCGCAACCACCTGTGTCGTGGGCTCAACTGCCTGACGCAGTTGTTTCTCTGGAAGAACCCAGGGTGAGGCCCAGGTTGCACTTCAACCAACTGGCGTGCTGCAACTGTCTGATACCCACATTGAAAAATGCTGAGATAAGGGCCTCTCGTGGATATTCAGGCCCGCCTTCACTTAGGGCGGGCGCAAGGCTTGCTGGGCCACGGTCCAGAACATATGCATGTTGTCTAGGGGCCCATGAGGACACACTCCTCACATTCCATCCCCCTTAGCTTCGAAAGTCCGCTGAGATGCTTCTTAAGCAGGAGCCTTCCCCTTCAACCTTATTTCATAGTCTGCCACAATCTGAGGTGCTGTTTCAATTAGTTCCTCTCTGGTGAACCATCTGTCTTCTTTTGGATCCGTGTGGTGCCTGAATCTGACCCAGTATTCCCTCTTGGGTTTCGACGGTCTTCCTCTAACCACAGGCTTAGTAACAGGCATGTCTCTGTGCTCCAAAATGTCGTCGACGTCCACGTGGCCATCCATGGTTGGGGGCAGCATTGATCTCCTTGATGGGAACTGTTGTGTCTCAGCGAAAGGTGCACGCTTTGAGCCGTGAAACACAGGGTAAGTGTGCAAGTGACCAGGGATTTGAATCACATACAAGGGACTGTCCAGATCGCTACCCACTATATCCAAGACATCCCAAGGACCAAAGTGTCGAGGCATTAGTTCCCTAGAGATGCCCAATTACTGTCCTAGCTCACTAGACTTAACCTAGACCGCCCCTACCTGAAATGTGGACTGTTGTCGATGTTTGTTCTCAGAAGCAATCATTGCTTCTTGAGATTTCTTGATGTGCTCAACAGCTTGCTGCAGCAAGTTCTCATACTGAACACCAAATTTTATGGTTCCAAGGGTTGCAACAGATCGGTTTTCAGGCAGGAGGAATTCTCGAGCAGATCTAGACTTCCACCCCAGATGCAGCTGATTCGGACTGACTCCGGTGGTGTTGTGCACAGCATTGTTGTACAGGCTGGCGATGAGAGGTAACTTCTGATCCCAGTCATCTTGGTTGGGCTTAACATAATGCCTCGGCAGATGCTGCACCACTCGGTTCATCTGTTCAGCTTGCCCATTGGCTTCAGGATGATTCCCATAAGTCATTTGGAGTTGGCTGCCCATCTGTTCTGCAGCCTTCTTCCACATTTCCCTGGTGAAACGAACATCTCTGTCACTAACGATAGTCTTTGGCAGTCCAAAGTCACACACCCAGTTATCCATAAATAACTTGATGACGTGTTCAGTCCTTGCAGTCTCTGGCATGGCAATTAGTCTAGTGTAGTTAGTAAACCTATCAACTAAGACAAAGACATGCCTCTTGCCACTCTTGCTGGTCACGAGGGTATCCATGAAGTCCATGGAGACGCTCTGTCCCAAACCAGCAGGAATGGGCAAGGGTTTGAGTAACCCAAGCGGAGCTTGCGCTCGCGGCTTGTCCTGTTGACACACTTGACAAGTCTGTACGTATTGCTTAGCTTCGTCTAACATACCAGGCAACCAGAATCCCTGTACCAGATTTGCACTAGTCTTTTTGTAGCCAAAATGTCCCGTTGCGTCATGACATTCACCTACAAACAAACTACGCAAAATCTCAGTAGATGGAACAACTAATCTCGTGAACCCTGCCTTTTCAAGAAAGAGCAACCCATCCACCATCACAAACTCATCAGACGTGGCCTTGTCTGTCCATCGTGACAGGGTCTTCCTTGTAGGCTTCCACCATTGATCAAGTTACATCGGGAGATAAACCAAACTCAATAATTAGCGCACCTAAGTAGTCTACCCTATGTGACAGCGCATCAGCAACCTTGTTGTACTCTCCCTTCACATAATCTAGCTTGAACTCATATTGGCCTATGACCTCAATCCAGCGTTTGAGTGCATCAGAAAGGACAGGCTGCGTTTTGATCCACTTGAGTGTCTGATGGCCAATTCTCAAGTAGAAGAACCTTCCCAACAGATAGTGTCTCCAGTGGACAAGTGCTTTGTAAGGGGCATAGAATTCCCTTTCGTAGGTGGACTTCACCAACTTCTTTGATGGCATCTTCCTACTCGTGTACTTGATCGGCCTCAACTTTTTCCCTTCCTGTTGAGCCAGCACTGCGCCAATGCCATATTGGCTTGTGTCAGTGGTGACAACGAATGGCCTCTCCAGATCGAGAACCATGAGAATCTCATGGTGCATGAGAGCATGCTTCAAACGCTTGAAAGCAGCTTCACACTTGTCGGTCCATTCCCATGGTGTGTCAAGGCGAGTTTGATCAGTCAAAGGGGAGGTCACAGTGCTATAGTTCTTTACAAAATTGCGGTAGTAGTTGGTCATCCCTAAGAAAGATCTGACCACGGTCACACACTAAGGTCGTGGCCAGTCACGAATGGTAGCCACCTTGGCATCTTCGGGCCTTATCCCATCCGCAGATATCTCATGACCCAAGTACAAGATTTTAGTGCAACCGAACTCACATTTCTGCAAATTTATACTTGTGTTGTCGCAAGAGTGAAAGCGCGGTTTCTACATGTTGGGCATGCTCCTCGACAGTTCTACTAAAGATAAGTACGTTGTCAAGGTACATGACGATGAACTTATACAAGTAGTCGTGAAAAATCTTATTCATGGCCTGCTGGAATATACCCGGTGCATTGCAAAGGTCGAACGGTGTCACTACAAACTCATACAATTTGTACCTGGTCGTGCTGCTCCTCTGGTCTAATTGCAATATGATGGTAGTTGGACTTTAAGTCTATCTTGGTTAAGTACTTACATCCGTGCACCCTATCCAAAAGGTCATCAATGCGCGGTAGAGGCTATGCGTTCTTAACAGTGATGGCATTGAGGCCTCTATAATCAATGCACATCCTTAGTGCCCCCCCCTTCTTCGGGACAAATAGGATTGGTGAGTAGAAGGGGGAGGTGCTCGGCCGTATCCAACCATTCTTTGTGAGCTCTTTAAGTTGTCGCCGAAATTCGTCTAACTCGGTTGGCACCATCCTCTAGATTCTTCCTTTGGGTATCTTGCTCCTTGGAACTATCTCTATGGCATGGACAACCTCACTATCTACGACTCATGAAGGTTCCTCAAACAGATCAGGGTATCTTGCGACGACACTTTCTATCTCTGGGGTGTTTTAACGGCCTCCCTTTTCTCAAAGACAAAAACTAAGTACATACCCTCCTCTTGGTTCTGTTTATAGTAATTATAAAATGTTGATGCACACATACACCCGTGTCTATTAGACTGCTAGCCTTATACTTTGCGAGTTTGATTGTCCTCCCTTCCGGCAGTACATGCTTAAGCACCTTTCGGTCTCAATCAAACTCGGGCTTTGCAACCTCGAGGTAGTACATACCTAACAACATGTCAAATGGCAAGTCGTCGCTAACTAGGAACGAAATCTTATGATCAAGTTCCCCACCTCCATAGTAAAAGGTCCAGACTACATCCTTAACTTAGTCGTCAACAACCATGCGCTCTTGTTGCCTAGGGTAGACGCTACAGATCTACGCAAGCGCTACACCCGGTTCCCTACGCGCAATCTCTCAACGCAATCGCGATTTATGAAGTTCCACGTGGAATTGATGTCTACGAAGGCACCACACTTGCAGCCACCTACACCAACTTCCACAACGTAAGTGCTCTCCTCTAGGACCTCTACTTAGCGCCACCCAAGACTCACGAGGGTCCCTTGCCGACCACTCATTTTGTAAGTTCTTTAAGGCTTCAGACACATCCAATGAACAGAGTATCGTTGGGTCTGGATGCGTCTGCGGGGTGACTAAAGATTCAATAGCTTCGACCAACTCTTGAAGTGAGGAGGGTACATCGCCCACTTCCTCGGGAGTAAAAGCAGCTACAATTTCTACTGGCCCGATGTGTTTCCCGAATTGGAGTTCATAGAAGGCCCACTATGGGAAGAATAATTCCCAAAACCACCTTTGGGAGGGATCTTCTGCGATACCTTCACATTCTTGCATCTGAACTGTTGATGGTCGTACTCGCAGTTGATGCAAGCTCCTCGCGAACAGCGGTCTCGCCACACATCCTGATCAAGACCCACCCTCACCCAAGGTAGTGACTTGTTTGAGTTTTGGGTCTAGCCCTGACTCTTTTGTTGATTGCCCTTGTCGCGGCCGCCTGCCTTAACTTTCACTATCCTCGTCTTCAAACTTTGTACCGTCTACTAAATCAGAATAATCATCGATCTCACTTTCATTCCCTTCGGAATCAACCATCATCAACCGACTACCTTTCTTCTTCCACTCTTGTGGACTCTTCTTCTTTCCATTCAAAGAGGGTTGTTGGGCTCCTCCTAGCTTAGCCTCTAGTCTAGGGCCTTCTTGTTGAAGGAGTCCACAATATGATATTCGACGCTGGCCTCGTTGACCAGCAAGTTCTTGACATTTGTGGGAAGACACCTCAAGAACATGGTCATCAAGACCTATGGATCATAGTGCACGTCGAGGACGACAATGAGACACTCCACAACAGAGGTAAGCTCACACGCAGACTTGTGCTTCTTAGTATCAAGCCGGGTCAACGCGTCAATGGTCTGCTGGGAATGTTGAGGGTTGTGCCATCGCGTTTCTACCAACTCCATAAAACTCTTTAAAGTGTGTGTCGTAGCCCAATCGTTCATTCTTCTGCCAAACCCTTTCGAGGCTACTAATCCATCTAACCATCGCGTTGTCGAAGCCTCAAGATACGAGGCGACAGTGATCACCTTTTCCTCTAACAACGTCCTCTTTGCCCTTACCCATACTCGCGTTGTTCTCAGTGTCCTCTTTGCCCTCACCCATACTGGCACATTCTCAACCAAGTGTCGAGAGCCTCATCCTTCTTATCACCTGAGAAGGTTGAGGGTGGTTTCAGAGGAGTCTTGGGGTACCAAGGCTGCTATTGTCCCTTTGGTGGGACCGGCTGTGGTGCAGCACCAGCCATTGGACCGGAAGATGAAGAAGCAACAGTTTGTGTTGCTGCTGCTGAAGTACCGCTTCGTAAACTGCTAAACTGAGACATAGTGGGACTTGTCATCACCAGCGAAGAAACCGGTGATGGAAAAACCGGTGGCCGAAAACAAGGCCCGCTTGTTGGAGATGGAAAAGCCCTTCCCATCACCTGCATGGTACTCAATATCTGGTCAACGGTATGTTGGATAGCGTTCAATTTGTTGTCCACATACGCATGCATGGACAGGAGACATGCCTTGAGAATCCTCGTATTATCATCAATGACAGCGTCATCTAACCCTTCTACAGCAGCAGTGACTGCCCTTCTATTCTCTAGTCTGGCTTTCCTAGTTCTAATCTTTGTTTCTCTTTCAGTAGCTTCTCTAAGTCCCTTCTTGAACCGTAACTGGATCAACTCCACTTGTTGGAGTTCAATGGCCTCTCTAGTGCGTGGAGGCGGCGAGCTGAACTGCGAGCTGGTCGACATTCCCATGGACTGGCCGAACGAGGTCGCTGCAAACGTGGCCATTGCTACTTTGCTAGCTGTTGCTGCCGCTAACACTGTTTTGCAGGTGTTGCTCCCTCTCTAGCAGTCTCTAGATGTTGGGCCCTTGCTTCGGCCACCTTCTCTTGGTACCAAGTAGCAGGACCTGAAATACTACAGGAATTCTTCGTGTATCCCACCGTGTTTGTATTTTATCATCAGCACTGCTAGCACCATTATCCGATCCGCTTATCAGCTAGGCAGACACTGTCTGCACTAATGCCTTCCGTGGGGCCTACCACAACATGTGTCTGACCAAGTTGAAAAATAAATAAAAATAAACTAATATTCGGCAAGTCACCTAGGCTACCGTTCAAGCGGTATCAACAACATGTACACAAAATGTACACATGATCTAGTTCTACCTTGACTAGTTTCACTCACAACAGCTTCGATGAGGACTGGCTATGGTAGAATACTACAGTACTAATCTAAGTTGTATGTTAGGTGTTTGCAATCTGTCCACCAACTAATAAAAATTAAAAATAAATCATGTGAACAGATGTATGAACAATGGGGATATGGTTGTGATTTGCAGTTCAGCATCAATTGGTACCTTCCTTCCCCTGTATCCAACATACCTGTCTACACCATCAACCACCGGTGTCTAAGGTGTGCATTAACGGCCCACCCCTGTCCCCAGGAATATGCTTATGACCAGCACTGCCCTTTCTTTATCCTCGCATGCAACGAGCCTTACGTCGGACTGATCTGCCTGATCAAGAGGCAGTTTAAGGACAGCCCCCAAGGTCCTCTGGAATTATTTAACGTCGCAGACAGGACAACAATCACAACCAGTGTACAGATGAGAACCCCGCCAAAAATATTTATAGACGGTCTGGTATGCGTCTGTATAGGACTTGTCAATCCACGATCCCTCTATCAGCGCAGCAAAAATCTTTAAGGACAAAGCAGCATGGCCTGCCTTTACTACTCCCATGGGTTGCCATGGTGACCATGACCCGTGCTTCAACCAGGGCCCTTCAGAGGCACCACCTTCTCCTGCCAGATGCACCACCGGGAAGAATGTTGTCTCTCAAGGTAGAGCGCTTACGACTCCTTTCTTAAAAGAGGACACTCAAGGTTGGACTCACTTCCTCTCGGTAAGAAAAGATTGAGAGGGAAGATAAGGTAAGGGAACAACGTACCTGGAGATAGTTGCCCCTAACCACAAATTTCTCACGAATTGAGCCGATGTGCATTTCGATGACCAAGCGTAGCTTCGGTACCACCCACAACGCAATGCAGTGCCACCTCGGCCAAAATGCCACATCAGCATGCTCTCATCATCACACATACATCCGTTGTCGCCACAACTCCCACGTTGTCGCCACAACCCTCCAGCGACGCACCCCTCTACCTGCGTGTCGCTCATTCAAGCCAGCACCAATGTATCCTTACTGCACAGAAGCATCGTCAGCGCGCCAAGTAACACTGTCGCCAGCACCAGGTGATGGCGATCTCTGACCAGCTCCGATACCAAATTGCAAGGAATATGAGCAAGAGCGATAAACAGAAAAACCAAGTTGCAAAATCATGCAGAAGTCCAGATAGTCATGTAACAAGCAGAAAGTTCAAATGCACCAAGATTCCATCCAAATAAGAGCAATACAATGAACTCATGAGCCAATGTCCAAGCCCTTAGGCCACACCAACACAGTATGCAATGTCGCTCCTACTGTCTGGACCCCAGCGCCCAGCCTACTCTACTCATCCTATGTAGCCTATCTACATTCATTCAACAGGCTCACTTCGACGACGAAGACCAATGTACATGACATCAACACCAATGCCGACCTCCCACATACACCACGTACGTTCTCCAACATCCCCTCCCCACCCCTTGTCCACCCACACCTCCGCCTCCTTCCTGAAGACCACAGCCGCCCTTCACCCACTCGCGCACCTGCAGCC